GCAACCACCCGGCCCATCCAAGTACGGTAGGTTAACGTGGAGCGCTGGCCATAGGCTGTGTACGTCTTGCAAATGTAACAATATGGCGTAAGCCCCTGAGAATTTCCAGAAGAGTTTGGCCTATGGTGTGTTCACGATGCTGTCCTCGGGACTTCCGGCAACCTATCCTAAACCAAACCCAAAAGCCTACACATACCATAAGAAGCTCTAAACCCCGATTCTGAGCCTAAACCCCAAGCCTCTTTTAAGCCCTGCGGGGATACCCCGAAGCTGCCCTTCCATAAGAGGAGAGCCAGCAGCCACAAATACTTTAGTGTCTAGGGCTCATAAAGGGTTTGGGGTTGAGGAGCATTCATAGTACTCCGAGCTTTTGGCGTGATCAGGTACGATGCAGAAAACCCTGTGGTCGCAGACCGCTCACCCGAAGACCACCAGACATCCAAAGCCTAAGCCGGAAACCCTCAACCCCAAACAAGCCGTGAAGCAGCATTGAACAAGCACAAACCCCCTTGGAACCTCTGGTCCGAAACCCCGCCGAATCCGAAAATCTGAAACTTTGCACCATAATATAGGGGCTTGAAAAACTTGCCTACATTATTTTTTGGGGGTTCCTTATTGTTTATATTGTATAATATACCCCAAAACCCTATTCTCATTGTAAATGCCCCTGCATTACACCCCTTAAAGAGACATAAGGCCGCATCCATCAACCATTTTCACCCCTTGATCTTACTTCAGTCGTGGCTTTGAGGTTCGAGATTGACCTGAACCCTTGTAAAACCCTACACCCGAGCCTGAACCGCACCTGGGCACCAAACAATATGTAGAACAATAGCCTTTTTTCTAGGTGTTGGGCCATTTTTCACCTACTTGGGTTTAGGTATACCCCGAAACCCGAAAACACCGCTGTAGACACCAGTGTTGTCGACACTGAACTAATCTAGCGGCCCGAGGTTCCTTGCATTTGTTCAAAAAATGTACCCCGAAGCCCTGTTCTGCATGTAGTTTCTAAATTAGGTTTGCTTGCAGGGTCCTTTTTATAAGGCTGCCGTACTATTTTGGGTACCCAAAAAGGGATCCTAATTTAGAGAACTACCCATATGTTGACACTATGCTAGTACTTGGCAAACAGAGGTCCCATGTCGGCATCCCGCGGTGGAACTGTCGAGGCTGCTTTCGAAAGATGGGACGACAGGGGCGCTTTATGTTGGGGTGCAGGGCTTGGGTCCCCCGCGTGTAGAATCTATGATTTGGGGATGTTTGGGGTTGAAAGCTCAGGGTTTAGGGTTCAGCGTTTAGGGCTCAAGGGTGTAATGCTGCAATCTCATGTAACTCACTGTAATGCTTGTAGCTGTGTGTGCTTATGTGACTGTGCCGAGCCAATCTAACTACAGAGACAGAGGGAACTAATTAGACCGAGCGCACACCTTGTAGCTACAAGCACACATTAGCCCGCGCTATCCGCACTTGTGTACGGTATATAGGAAGCACATATGTCCATGAAGCTGTAGGCACAGAGCCCGCAAATCCAGAAAACTTCCCACATGCATATATGTGTAGTTTCGTACACATTGATGCGAATTACTTTTGTCAAATCCCGTTTGTATAATTTTTGTGGAATGTATGTGTGGCATTAAACAGTACATGCATGTACATACAGGCCTGCTTGTGCGATCGCATGGTCTTCAGAGTCACTGCTTATCTTACAGAGAGTCAGCCTGAGGAAATACTGCATGTAAGTGTATCGCGGTGCTTTCATCCATGTATTGTTGTATGTTTACATTTCACGCGCTAGATCCTAAGCCCTGAACCCTGAACCCTAAACCCTGAACCCCAAGCCACAACCTGCATGCCTTCGGCCACAGCCCAAAAGCTCGAGCAAAGAGGACCGATTGCAGCACATGGAGGAGATGATGTTCAGGCTGGACCCACAGGTAAAGTATACCATATATACGTACAGAGTGCATAACAAACCTGAAATAACAAACCTACATGAGCATATACATATACATATACACACATTTCTGTAGACGCACACATACACACACACACACACACATATATATATATATAGAATAGATATGTATGCATGCATGCATAGATGTATGTAGGTATGCACGTATGTATGTATGCGCTTATGTACTTATGTATGTTCGTAACAACGAATGAATGAATGCATGTACGTACGTATGTATGTAAGTATGTAGACCAATAAGTATAACAATTGGGACGTATGTATGTATGTATGTATGTATGTATGTATGTATGTATGGATGTAGGTATGTGTGTATGTATGTATGCATGCATGTTTGTATGTGTATGTATTTACGTGTATGCATGTATGCATGTACGTGCGTATGTATGTGCATATATGTATGTATGTATGTATGTATGTATGTATGTATGTATGTACGTATGTATGTATGTATGTATGTATGTATGTATGTATGTATGTGTGGATGTATGTATGTAAGGATGTATGTATGTATGCATGCATGTATGTATGCACGCATGCGTATGTAGTTGTGTATCTATTTTCAAGATATACACGTTACACGTTCACAACACCCAGTCTGACCTGCAAGGACATTGAGAGGCGACAGCCGAAGAGCGCAATGTTTATATCTGTAGAATGTCGGTTGAACATTTAGGATTCAGAGTTTGGGATGCACAGGCTTTGTTCATGCCGCTTTTCAGATTAAGGTTTACTGAGCTTAGTACTTAAGGTGCAGCACGCGGTCGGTCAATGGCTTTGGCCGTTTAGGGTTGAAGTTGTTGGTTCCAGGGGGTGGGGCTTATAGGCTTTAAGGGTTGCGATCAGTTCTTGCTTTCTAGGTTTAGGGTTTATAGGGTTCAAAACATCCTGGAACCGCTCCATTGTTTTCAGCAGCAGGCAGGCTAGCGCGTAACCATGGCCAAAAGCTTGCGGGGTTCTTACAGGTTAGCAGGTCTCTTAAAGTTCAGACTTTTCTGGGGCTGTAAGACGAGAGGGAAGCAACATTGGCACAGCCAACTGTATTCCCTGAAACTGATCGCTGATCGAATCTTTAACATCTGTAATCTTGCCGTCCGCTGGGGGGGGAACGGGAAGGGGGCTGGGATGGGGAGCTTGGCTTTTGCCTTGTTGTTCTGGGTGTGTAGAATTCATGATCCCACACCTCCGGTTGCTTTCGGGGGGTGGTTGAGTCATTTCACGGCTTTCTGGAAGCCTAAAGTGAAGTGCTCGAGCTCTGAAGCCCTAGGGCCCTCAAGCTCTAAACCTAGACTCCCAGACCCTTCAACCCTAAACCCTATAAACCCTAAACCCTAAACATAAGTCCGAAACTTCTAACTGCAGCCCAAGCTCCAAAACCCCTAAAAGTCACAAAAGCCTGGGAAGCCGCACGAGGCAGTTCAGTAGTACCCTTACTCCTTTTCGGGCCTCCATGTTGAAACGGCATATAAGTTTGTAAATTGTCTTTGGAAACACCGTACACTTGTGTCGGTAAGGGGTTGCTGAGAAACCTAGCTCAAATTTCGGCGAAGGTTCCACGAGATTCAAATGCGGCGACAGCAGGAGGCAGAGGCCGAGTGCCCGTTGCCTTCTTTAGGGTTTAGGGTTTAAGGTGTAGGGTTTGACCTGGGTATGGGGTTTCGCAGGGATGGCCTTCGGATCTTTACGAACACTGTTATAGTAGGATTCCATAGTACCATGAGAGTGCTAAAAAGCCCCAAGCTTGAATCTAACTGCGCTTCAGGCCCCGATATTGGGTGTAATGTTTGGGTTCAAGGTTCTTGGGACTCACACCTTACGAGACGTTGTGAGTTATGTCTAGATGGTTGCAGAGGATCTGCAACGTGAGAATGAGAGTGACCTCTGATGAGTAAACTCCCCTAAACCCTAAACTAACCTCAGCCCATTATCCCTTCTCTAGATCCCCGTCAAGATGTCCGAGGGTTTATGTAGGAACCTGATAAAGCAATCCTGGTCCGTTAGCCCCAAAATATTAGGATCCATATCAAGAGCCCGACAATCAGGTTCCTACAGTATTTATCAGGGGTCTGAAGTACAGATGTATTTCATCGAGCTTTGTCAGCTACAGTGATGCTCGGTTCTTCCTAAACCCTGAACCTTGGGTCTAGGGATCTAGGGGTTTAGGCGGTTGGAATTTAGGGTTCAGGGGTTCAGGGGTTTAAGTTTCAGTCTTATAGTCTAAACCCTAAACCCTCGAGTCTTCTGGGCCAAGTTTCTCCTGAAGGCGAGCATCGGCGCGATGTTTCAGGAGGCACAGCTGCTGTCAGTGGGTGATGTCTACGGGCTTAATTGCTGATAACTGGGCTTCATTTTGAGAAGTATGGCTCGACGCCAAAACCCTATTCCAAGTCTTGGCCCCTGTTTTTCCGTAAGAAGGCTACCGGCCCGTTTGCCAGAGGGCTGTTCCAACGTCCCAGTACCTGGTTCACAACGCTGCTCCAGTTCAACAATGCTAAACTACCCTAAACCCCTAAACCCTAAACCCCAAACCCCAAAGCCGACAGTACGTCAGATTTGCTTCAAGCGGCCTCTAAGTGCCAGCTGTGAGCCCGACAAACCTCGAAGGCCTGGCACTAGTCCCTATAGCTTGAAGCTTTAGACCCTAAAGCCCAGCAGGCTTCGACGTGCATTGACTTTTGGGTTTGAGCTCGGACCACAGGCTTCTAAGTGAAGGGCTCCGGCCCTCAACCCTAAGCCTTAAACCCTAAACGCTGAACCCCATACCTGAAGCTCTAAGCCCGAAAACTCTAGCATACAAAACCTCCAGTTAGAAAGCCCTAGCACATGAAGGCTACAGTTAGAATTTGGTTTTCTCCCTATTGGCTCAAGGACGGTCTTTCCCCAGGCCAGCAACAGGCTGGTAGAGCAACGATCACACCCGTCTGTTCGAGGAGTACGAACGGTAATGATTATAGTCACCCGATGTCACTATATCGGGGTTGATGATCGCGGCCATCGTTATGACGACGACCACAACTACTAGGCTGCTGCTACTAGTTTCATGTCGTAGTATAGTTAGTGAATGTATTGGGAGACGGAGTTGTCGCAAATGGTAAGCTAGGTATCGTGAGTGTCGGTGCTCACAAGCCGTGTTGTGTTCTAAGTTCATGACCTCAGCCGAAGTACTACTGTCAAGACCTCTCGCTTCGTAACTTTGCAGTTTTCTGAGTCAAAAATAAATTAGACCCTAAACATGTAATGGTTCGGCTGTGAGGCCGGAGACAACTCGCTGAGCTCCGAGCCCCAAGCCTTAAAAGTGAGGAATCCTGCTTCACGAGGCAGAGCCCTTTTTGCTATCCAAGTCTTGACACACAGGCGACTGTTAGAAGTTTTGAATAGCCTGAGTACTTGTATTTGCAAGTCCTTGGTCAAGCCCTATTCACTGAAAGCCTTGTAAACAGTCACCTTTGAACTGTGGCACAGCACAGGCCACGCAGGCCATGATTCCGCAGCTTGCTGGGCGCCACAGCTGAGGGCACAAGGATTCAGGCTTGCATGGCCTGCTTGACCACCGTAGTCTGCGAAATGTGTGTCTGTGAGTTTGCTGTGCTCGGGCTTGCAGCTTACTTTAGCTTGCTGCTCAGGCTTTGCTATGATCCAACAAAGGTGCCACAGTTCTGAGAAGGTTCAAGAAGAGTTGCACCGGGCTGTGCAAGGGCGCTAAGGGAATGGTGTAAGGGCTTAACGGGTGCTTTGTTTTGACTTGAGTAATCAAGACTTCAGGGTGAGTAGGGGATTCTCAGTTCAGGGATGAGGAGGGTTGTTTAAAAGTTTTTAGTGCTTAGGACGACAACTGCTTTAGGTTTCGAGGCTACGAGCTACCAGCGAGGCCTCGCTGTGGCGCCTGCCTCCCTGCCAGAGCTGACATGTCGTCTGCAATTGAAATCCACAACCCCCCTAGAAAAGCCCAAAACCTTAAATCCCAAACCCCAGACCATATATACACCGTAAGCCATTGCAACAGCCATTGTCGAACCTTTCAGTCCGAAATCCGCACTCAAAGAGCCCCTGTAAAGCCCGGATTTTGCCCGAAGAAGCTGAAGACTGGTCAGGACCTGCACAAAAACAATAAGGAGAAGAAGAAGAAGAGAAGAGCGCGCACTTTCGAAGCCCTCATGCACGCCTCATACAACCCGTATGAGACCTTTTAGGCTTTGTTGAAACCATTCAAAACCCTTGCTTCAATGACTAGAAAAGCACGTGGAAGGTCATAGAAGCCCCTAGGCTACCCCTAGCCCTTGCGCAGTTGAGCTTGTAAGGTCGACCACATGATCGAAAAGCTGGCGCAAGCCATGGATTTCTCGGAGTTGAGAGACCAGCGGCTCAACTAACAAGGCGATTCCAGAGTTAGTTTTGTTTTTGTTTTTTTATGTTAGGGTCCCTTTGAGGGTCCTTTTGTAAGGTTTGCGTTGGATTTGGGGGACCTCATAAGGGGACCCTAATTTAGAGAACTATCCATAGAATCAAGGCACTAGAGTCTAGGACTTGGGGCTGGGGTGGCCGTTCAGGGCTTTGTCGTGTTTTGTTGGCTTGGGTTCAGGGCTGAGGGTTTGTGATGAAGGCTTGCTGTTTGGTCGTGTTGCTTGCCCAACCAATAAACCCCCAAACCCTAAACTCACTGAACACTAAACCTTAAACCCTAAAACCCTAGCACCTCTGCAGTGCCACGAAGCACAGGCCACGGGCTCATGTACTTGCACTCAAACACCGCTGTTGGTTGGTTGGTGGGTTGGTTAAGGCTTTAGGGCTTAGGGATTTTGGGGTTTAGGGTTTAGGGTTTCAGTTTTTCGGCTGCCTCTGTTGTTGACTTGTCGGGTTTGTCTCGGCAGTGTCCCTGAGTCGTGGAGCCCTGAGCCCCGCAGCCTACAAGCGAAAAATGGTGCTTTCCGGCACTACCCAATCCACCCCTTCCTCTGTCTCTCTGCCCTCGATCCTCATTTGCCAAGGCTGATCGAGTCATTCAGTGCAGTTGTGGACGAAAGGGCTGAGGCCAGCACGGCGCAGACCAGCGAGTAATGAAGGGAGGTTACTGGATCGATCGGATCTTCAGCTATGGGGCTTCTGGGGAAACTAGCTTGGCTTGGAGATTCTCGGAGAATCCATGTGCTTATCCGGTATAAAGGGTCGGCAATTAACGACGATGCTTGATCTTCGGACCCCAAACCCTGGCCCTACAGACCCCAAGACCCGAAACCCTACGCCCTAGAACCTCCCCGCAACGCCTCAAATAGGAATCCGGTCAGAAACCCTAAAACCTAAAACCTAAACCCTGTCCACTGCATTAACAAACACCCTAAACCCTACAGCCTACAGCGGTCAACCCGGAATCCGGTGGAGTGCGGTTTGATTGAAGCTTCAAGAGCCAACCTCAAAAGCGGAACCCACCATCCTCTCACGCCTCAAGATCACCGTGTCTATTTGTTGGCTTCACGTGTTCACGGCTTGAGGTCAGGTTTGGAGTTTTGGATGCAGGCGTTTGAGGTTGAGTTTCGGGTTCGGGGGCTTATCCTCACCCCCGTACTCCTGAACCACTTACCCTCCAAACCGCCTTGACTCGGACCTTCTAACCACCCAAGCTTTGACAGACCATCCTTACATCGATTGGGGAGACGTCCGTGGCCCGACACTGAGTGGGATGAGGACCGTGGACCGTAGGGCTACAGCAGGTCGTTCACCGGACAAGGTTGTTCATCAGCTTGTCAAATCATCATTGTTGCAATCGTTTATTGTTTTAATTTCGTTCTTTCCCTTGTGTCGGACTCTGCGGACTCTGGAAGTGTTCGCCTCTCAGGTCAGTATATGGTATCTCTCATAGTCCGCATGTAGCTGTAGCATACCCTAGAGGATATTTGGAGACTGGTATAGAGCCATGAAAATTAGCAATACTATTCCGTACTCCCTTTGTCTGCTCATACAAATATCACTCCAAACACTCTTCCAACCAATCCCAAGCATTCGGGCCCTTACTGTATGTCCTCGACCAGCAGTACCACACTTCAGGATTCAGGTTATTGTAGGGTTTGAGCCGGGCCTGTTCGTGTCGATTGATCTTAATGGTTATTGAAGCCCAAAGGCGGAAGAGCCCGAACATGGGAGCTTCGGGCCATAAATGACCCGCAAGATAGACTCCTAGTAGTAGGATCCTTCTGATAGAGACGCCCAAGACAGATCACTCCGATATTATCAAAGAGGCCGACAGTATGTTGTCCAGCAAGAGGTGCAGAAGTCGATCTTTTCCGATGTCTCCCGACTGGCCGCATTCTCAGCTGGTGTGGGCATACGAGTGCGGGACTAAGCTTGCGAGGAATACTTAAGTCGATGTTCAGTCGTGACCGTCTGACAAACAGGAAAACATGTATTCTCGCGGCGTCGGAGCTGTTTAGAGTTCGCAGGTTGTGTGGAGAAATCTGCGAAGCTCCAGAAGTGTTCCCTCGACTGCGGCACAAGTGACCTGCCCGTTCGAACAGGAGTCCCCAAACACACCCGCCAACGCGGGGTGAAGAAACTTGAAAGTGGATGAGATGGAAGGATGGCACGGACCAATATTGACAGAAAAAGGGGATGCGTACAAACACATGCACACCCCACACACCAAGACGCAAACATGCTCTAGTCAGTGCGTCCGTCGACTGAAGGGATGTGACTTCGTGGGACTGTGCTTGTTATGACATGTGATGGACCAACAAGCACCTATGATCGAACCGATACGGAGTCTAATTTAAATACTCAAACTTATGGCTACATGGAGGACTGCGCTTGCGGGCAAGTCTAGATGTGTGATATTCTAGCTGTTCTGAAGAGCGTTCTACATGCACGTTAAGTTCTGTGCTTCTGTGGTTAGGCGTGCATGTCATGACAGAGCTGCATACAAGCCTTCGCGTGATTTGCACTCGCGTTGACTTCACGTTCACAGAAAGCTATGTGTGCATAGCGAACGTCGGGCAGTGGTAGTACGTCACTGGGGCTACTCAGTGTAGTTGCGTAGCCTTGTGGTACTCACAAACGGTTCTCTAGGAATCCAGCCTTAAACCCGAAACCCTGTATGAAGGCCACTTTACTATGCACAAGCCGAGTACCCTAGCGTGTGTACCTCTCTGACAAATCTCAAAACCCTGAACCTTTAGGGGTTTGGGTTTAGCATTCTTTGGGCTATCTGTTGAGATGAGAGTACGGGCAGTACACAAAGGTAGGTTCTGATCCGCATAGTTGTAGGTCATAGCAGTCAAACCCAGGGAGTCCTAGGTACTGTTCTGGGGGAGTACTTTCCCGAATCATAGTCATGATTCCCAATATAGAAACCCTACATTCCACGATGTAGGTGCTTCGGGATCCTTTGGGAAAGTAGCGGGTTGTTGCACCCACCGGAATGGAGTAAGGTTGATGAGTAACACTGGGGTTCTCTACACTTCACTTTGAAGGTGTGTAGGGAACGTTTCTCCAAGTCTTTTCCCAGTCCAGATCAACAGCGGGAATTCCTGATGCCTATAGGTCCGCACTGAAAGCAATCCTGAACCCTATACACACCAACTGCTTACTTAGACTCTAAACCCTAGATGCACACTAGAGGAACACTGCACCCCAAAACCACCTCAACACCGGTCTCCAAGCCACAACATCCCGACAGCATGCAGGGCAACAAGCTTGACTCCATGGTCTGGGCCTGAGTCTCTGGCAGGTTATGACATTCATGGCTTAATAACTGACGGTCCATGTTAAACCTTTGCCGTGAAGGCGTCCCTATCCTTGGGGCATATGTATATATATATATATATATATATCTGCTTTTGGGGTACATGGACCCTTAGGGTAAGTGTGTTGCAGGAGTTTGGTTTGAGGCTTCTACAAAATGATGGCTCCTCGTGTCGGGGGATTTCCAGCAAAGATCCGATCAGCTCGGTTATCTCCTGGGGTCCCTTTCTTGATGAAGCTCCCACTTGGTGGCAGCAAAGATGTCAAGGTTTAAGCTTTCGGTGCTGACTGCTGAAGTTCTTATACGGACCTCCAGAAGGGATCGAGTACGTAGTGGGTTTAGGACTTGAGGTTTCTTGACGTCTGGAGGTCTTGACGTGCTTTTGCGGCATTAGGAGAATAGCAACAGCAACACCAGGGTGAGATACAGTAAGATAAGACTATAACACTCATACCAGTTCATAAATACCAGCAATCGTTCTTGCAATACATATGCCGGCTACTCATAGTATACTACCCCGTTACTACCCTAAACCCTAAACCCTAAAGCCTAATACAGAAGCACCCGCGTCGAAATGCGCTAGGCGACATCAGTTAGCGACCTGGTCTCACTCTCAGTCTCAGCACAGCATTTTCACCAAGCATTGCTTTGAAAGCTTTCTTGATACCAGTACAGAGTTGGAAGGTTAACGGTAGGCCTTTCAGGTTGAGGCTGCTTGTAGCTGCTTCGTAGTACGATCAATACTTGAGAAGTTTCCGGATATGTGTTGCCTGTAATAGAGAGCCAATGGAGACCCAAAAGTCTTAACCCAACACCATTTTAAACAAGTAGAGGGCGAAGCCTAAATCGCTGAAGCACAAGGGTTGGGACCGTTCTCCGAGACCCTAAAGTGAGGACACCCAACAGCAGAGGGCTGTCGTTTTCCATGGACGTGCATCCACTTTGGGATTACCGCGGATCCCAACAAGTTTGCGGGGAGTGTAAGCTCCGGAATCCAGGGTTTTTGGTTTGAGGGGCAGGTCGAGGGCTTCGGTGAAGCTTGTGGGGTTGCATATAGAAGCCTCATGTACCTACCGTATTCATTTATGTTTATGGTAAAATGTACCGCAAAACCCTCTTTAAGTTATCAGGGTCCTTATAATATGCTCCATCCTCCATCAAACGGAGATACGGGTGTGTTGCGATGTTTGTTTTTCTTATCCTTTGATGTCGCTCCTTGCCGGAGGCTTCCAACATGGTGCCTGACATGCAGGACCCTTTACGCTTAAACCCTTAAGCCCTTAAATCCATGCTCCTTGCAGGACATCTTCTTGGACAGGCTGGGCTGCATTGTGGTGGTGTAGCCTTCTGCCCAAATTCCCGTCCGCTTTGATTCCTCGATACTGTCGTTGCTCTTTAGTTTATAACAAGAAACCTAAACCCTAAACGCTGGTGGGTTGACTAGTGTATCCCCCCAGTACATGATTTTGCAGACGAGATTCCTAGCTCTAAACCTCTAGATGGTCGGCTTGATGAGTCATCGGTCTTGTCCAAACCTGCTCTACCATGAGTGTACCCTGCCTGAAACATTAACCCCAACCCATACCCATTCCAATCTTAAGGCGAAGTCTTACTAGGGTTTAGGGCATCGCCTCAAGCTAGAACGTACAACTCTATGGTTTCGTCGGCAACGGACGGAATATGGACGGACTTAATGTTAGCATGTACAATAGTGGACTGAACGCGAAGTTGACCGATATACTCGTGCAAGATCAGCCAGCACAAGATACAGCATATTTAAGTGTCGATGTATATATCTAGGAAAGCAGCACGAGGCATCAAGCCAACCAGTCGGTCAGGTTCGACGAGTTGCAGCGGTACGTGGAGATGACGATGACCAACATGGACTATCCAAGGAGCTCTCTTTGCGACAGATTGTTGGGACAGTACCTGGCGTTCTTCGATTGCACACGTGTGCTTTGTGTATATATATATATACAGGCAGACTGACGGATGCACAGACAGAAAGGCAGAAAGATAGTCGAACTCACACATACACACTTAGATGCATACATGTGCATATGCATACACAACTACATGCATGCATACATCCATACATACATACATTTATTTATATATATATATATATAGATAGACACTTATGTACTTACATACATACATACATACA